ATATATATATTAGAGATGTGACATTCGTGAACGCTCCAAATCTTTTGAACGGCTCTTTACAACGAACGATAGGAGCCGGATCGCGTGCAATAACGAGCCATTTGTAGTTTTATTTCTTTTATTCCTCATATAATCTTTATTTTTTCATACTTAAATCACTCCCGCTTTGCTTTTTCACAGAAAACAGGCAGAGTTGTGCAGTGCAGAAGCTCACAGTGAGAGGGGAAGGGGAGTTTTCTGCTTGACAAACTCATGGCTCCACCCACGTGACGGGATGACGTCATTACGTATAGCTATGTGATGACGTACTTTTCTAGGTGATGACGTAATATGTTCAAAATCGAACGGCTCTTAGAAACAAATGGCTCCCCAAGATCCGGATCCCTTCAAAGAGCCATTTATCCCATCTCTAATACTGATTTGTCTGTTTTATGTCAGACTTGCTGCTACTGATGAGTTGTGTTAAAGTATCAATTTTAATAGGAGGATGTCAGTTGAGTATAACTTTAAAGCTTATTTGTTGGTTTACAGAATACACAGGAAGGTTCTAGAAAGATCATCGTGGGAAAAAAGATGTTGAATTTTTTTTTGCTGTCTTTGATGTGCTCATCAGAGGAAATGAAARCATGATAAAAATTAAATGCCTAACATCGCTTGAAGGAATGCACATTTTCTGCCTGCTTTCTTGCCACCGTTTTAATTTGAGAAACGATGTAACCATTTTGGTGAAACCTTGACGGTTTTGTGCAGAATGATGTGTTTGCATTCAGAGGACGACTCTCAGCTCCCACTTCAGCAAATTTCAGCTCTATTGTCTGTGAAACATACCTCCAGTTTATTTCGGTCTAAAGCACGTGTTGCAGCTTTTTCTTGTTTGTTTATTTGCTGGTTTTGGTCGTTTATTTTCAGTCAGACTTCACATGTTGATCTGTAGTCTGAAAAGATGTGAWAATGCAACCTGCTGCATATTCACTGCTGTGTAAATGAAGCGTTCCTCATACAGAACTGCCTGTGCATGCACAGCGATGAAAAGAAAATGTGCTGTAGAAAAAGTCTTGTGTTACTTTGTACCTTGAATTTTTCACTTTTGTGCAGAATCTCTTAAACTTGCTTACGTTTATTGACTTTAAGCAGCAGGTTTAACAAGTTCTGACGCTGTTCTAGAACAGTGAACAGTTCTGACTTTGTTCTAAATAATTAAGGCCCACCTCAGCAACCACGGGCCTTCGAGCTTCCTCTCTCTCAGGCTTCACATGTCTCACAGAGACGTGGTTTTCCTGTCCAAGGTTGCTAAGAAACTGAGACCTTGGTGAGAGCGGCCTATCAGAGTCTGCTGCCTAATGAGAAAACTTTTTTAAGTAGGTCAGCCAGAAGAGTTTTGTCTTGACATTATCTTGACAAATACTTTACCAACAACAAACCAAACTTTATTAAAAGTTGACCCAAGAGTTTTGAAGCAGATTTAAATGTGTAGTTTGGATTTTTGCACACAGCTGGGTTTTCTCAAGGTTAAACTCATGAAACCGTCAGGTCTTGGAGGTTATCACCACAGCAAAGGTGGGAGGATCATAGTTTTTGTTAATCATTTTTTTGTGTGCAGTTGAAGGGATTTATCGTTTAGATACTGATGTTAAAAGCACTACACCATTTTCTTAGTTTCCCTTTTAAGTATTGACTTTTATGATCTATTGTTTGACGATTGTTATGTCTTGATTAAAATAGTTTAGATACATGCCCGAACCACCAACAACACATAGAAAAACCGTTATCAATTCATTACGGAAGGTAATATTTGTTCGAGTGGCCTGTGATGCAGCCGTAGGCCTGTAGTGGGCGCACCTGGCACTGAAGAACCGTGTATGGATAAMAGACCCGAACTTCTGGTTTGCTTTCAGCTCTGCTTTAGCTGACYCCAGCAGGGAGAAATAAAGCACGCTCGTAACCAGATCTGGGGTTGTATGGTCCTATTCTGTTCACATTTTAATCTGTTCACTGTTTATGTGGTTTCGTCTCGATTTCAGTTAATGAACACTTAMTTTTCTCACACGTCTGTACTGTCCGCAAAATATTTCATGAATCAGTGAATGGATATCAATGAAACTTTCTAAAAACACTTGCTGAGTTGAAACCTACAACAGATTGAATTTTGRACTGAATCTACTTCAAGATGGCYGCCRCAGCCAACTGAACATGAAAACATAAAAATAGCCATAACTAAGCCACTTTTATTTGGAGCTAAATCTTTGTCTGATAGGAACAGGAAGTCATTCATAACATCTACTCCACGAATTAACAAATAGTGTAACATTGCATGAGATTGTGCATAATCTTATTTTCAAGCTTTGATCAAAGTGTTTACGAGTCTGTCGTTTTCACAGATGGTTTGAGTCAGACAGTGTGGCATGACAGGCTGTGGGTGATGTGTATTTTAGGCATTTATTTCAGGATTTCCTATCACTCTGAAAGGATCATTATGTGTTTCATGCATTTTGTGAATTTCAWAGGAAGATGATCTGATTATACGATTAGCAGCATCTCGTTTGCAGGGAAACAAAAGCTCACTTGTTCACACGTCAAAAGCGATCTTTGGTTGGGATTTCTTGATGTAACCAATTTAGTTTTTATGGATAGTCAGCAGAGACAAGCTACAGCTGCATTTTGTGGTTTAACCAGCTGGTAATATCTGTTCAAGGAAGTGCAGGTGGTTGACCTTCAAGTAACTAACTGAGTCCCCTGCCAGCAGTTTYGTCTTCACCAGGAGCTGAAGCTACACATAACTCGCACATAACCTGCAGTTAAACTCAGCCACAAAAACAGARGACTGAAGAATGTGTTTTAAAGACCGTAGAAGGATCTCCCAACCACTGGGTTCAAGATGAGTCAAAGCAGAAGTGCGGTGGCCTTTTCTTTGAAGGATGAGTCATTTTGTAAAACTGAAAATCATTCAGTCAGAAGATGTTGTTTTGTGGTTTTGGTGCGATGTCTTTATTTGTTTTTGTGACTTCTTCAACACGTAGCATGAAAACTGGGTCGGTGCGCTCTTTGAAAACTTTGACTTTTAACGTCAAAGTTTATCTTGGACGATTTAAATGTTCATTTTCAAAGAGCGTTAACATGAAAGAGGGCCAAACATGCAACTGCTTGTGCCTGTGTTAGTTTGTTAGTAAAATATCTCATGAACCGCTGGATTGATTTTAATGAAACTCAGACAGTTATCATTGGTCAGCCCAATTCAGGCAGGCTGATGCAGCTTATCAAACCCCAAAATGTCCATAAATATATTCAATATAAACACTTTATTCTTTAAGTGACAAAAATGCAATGTCCAAACATGAAAACAGGAAATACATTAAAATGAGTTAAAGTGATAGTTCAGATCTTTTGAACAAGTGTTATGTAAAATTATGTTCCTGTTGTGGATAGTTCTTTGAATAATCTCCGTTTAGACAACAGGCAAGATATTAGTTCATAACCTTTCCACAAAACCCAAGGTAAAAAGGTCTGAACTATGACTTTAAACCACAACATCTCACCTGAAATGTACATGAGACCCCCATGAACAGTTCCAGCATGTCCGTAATGAGGCTCCATCATGCTGGACACAAAGGTCCACTCATTTTTCCTCAGATTGTAGCACTCCACTGTGTCTGAACAAAGTTATAGAGGTATAAATCATTTCAGTATTTATTTCTCACAAGACATTCTCCCCAAATTCTAGCTGTAGTTTTTTATTAGTTCAGCGACACTTTGATAAAAATGAACCTGTCAACACATCAGAGCAGGAAATGGAAGCAGCTCACCGATTTCTCCAGATGCGTTCCTGCCCCCCACTGCGAACAGTTTCCCCTTCAGGGCACTGAGGTGGAAGAAGGTCCTCTTCTCATTGAGGGAAGCGATCTGCAGCCACTTATCGAAGCGCGGGTCRTAGCGGTAGGCGCTGTCTATAGCTGTCTTACCCTTCGTGTCGTAGGTGCTCTGACCTGAGAGGTCAACGGTAAGCAGTGTCACAAACATTTACTGAAGTACACACTTCTGTTCTTATTTTAATCTGTTAATTTGTGAGTGTCTTCCTGTTCAGGATCAACTGGACTGTTTCAAACTCTTATAACTGTCTTTAACTAAAAGCTACAGCATCACAAACCAGAAAAATGTGTTTTCTGCTGAAATGCAGCAGGAATGCTGAGAGCTAAAGCAGTACGGAAATGTGTGGAGCTGAGACTGAATTGCTAAATGATCCCAACAAAAGCCTTAAATTAGTTTGAAAAAAGCTAAAAGCAAAATTTAGGAAAAGCTAAAATAACAAACAAAATCTAAAACTGCAAAGCAGCAGCTAAAATGTAATACTAGCAGAGCAGTAGCTAAAAGCTGCAATTAGCAAACAGTTGATAAAAGCTAAAAAGGCAACATAGCTAAACCAGTGGTGTTCAAAGTGTCCTGACAGGCTGGTCTTCTGCAAGTTTTAGGGTTGTCCTGGTTCAACACAGCTAATTAGTAGGCCTCTACAGGCCTTGATGACATACTGAGAAGGTAAATCATGTGTTTGAATCAGATGTGTTGTGTGATCTGAGCAGGGACGAATCTAAAAGATGCAGGAGACCGGCCGTCGTCATCAGCTCAACTGAGGAAAATCTCAAAGGGAAAAGTTTTGCCAAATTTCTAATCTTGACGGATTTATGGGAAAAAAATATTGATAAAGTTTTATACAAATAGTATAACAGTTAGAAATCAGAAATTTTAGCTGTAATGTTCTAAATGAGCTAAAGGAGTGGCTGAAGCAGAGTTCAAATGGAAGAAACCAGAAACAGGAAAACAGTGGTGTTAAAGGGGCAATATCATGTGCTTTCCAAGTCCATATTTCAATTTTATACTAAAATAAAGTAACTATGTCACAGTTTCAGATTGTGAAAGAGCTATATATTTGTAAAAATCCTCAAAACAATTTACTTCTCATCTTGACAGTTTCTAAACGCCTTGAAATGGGTCTCTGTCTCTTTAAGAAAATTCAACCACTTTGGTCATGCCCACTTCAGCACATTGCCGGCTGCCTAAAAACGCTGCAGGATTTCTCAAACATGCATGAATGAGTCAAAGCAAGGYTTTGGGYGTGCTTTTTTAAATGAGAGTACAATATTATAACGTGATATAAAACTCAAAAAAGTTGATTTTACATGATATTGCCCCTTTAATGCTGACTCAACGTTTGCGCCAATTAAACTCTGAACTGACATTGTAGTGTAAACTTCTTCCTGCCACAGTGCACAGAGTGAACTGTATGTGTTCTGACCTCCAACAATGAAGAGGAAGCCTCCCAGAAGAGCTACACCATGCTGGTAACGTGGGACCTCCATGGGCCTCAGCGCCCTCCAGTGTTCGGTGGTCTCATCATACACCCTCAGCTCCCGGCTAACCACCAGCTGCTGTCGCATCACACCGCCCAGCGCCAGAATATGCGTGGAGTCCGATCGAATCTGGGTCCTCTCTGTTTGCAAGGCCGGCTGCATGTAGGGCATCATCTGGTAGTTGCTGGCCTCCAGCAGGAGGTTCACACAGGCCGTGTCAGAGCGCATCATTGAGTCAGACCCCTCCTCGTCATCCTGGGAGATCTGAATCAACTCGTTGGGGCTCATCAGAGGGAAACGAATGTGGCGCATCAAGGCATAGACACAGGAGTGGCGTTTAGGAGGGTCGTGGTCCAGCCAACCTTTGGCGATGTGGTAGAGCTCCAGTTCAGAGAAACCCTGCAGCGAGTTGGTGCTCAGAGCGTTGGCCATGCTGATGTCAGAGAGCTCCAGGTAGCGACCAGACTCCACCAGTGCACTGAGGTTCTGACTCACAAACTTGCCTAAGTTCAGTTAGAAACAGTAAGAATCACAATCAACCAGGTTTTCTACAAAACTTTGTGCACATGTTTATTTTGTGATTAAAAAGCAGAATTGTAAAGTAACTAAATACAAATACTTCTTTACTGTGCTTAAGTACAATTTTTGGGTATCTGTACTTTACTTGAGTAATTATTTTTCAGCCTACTTTTTACTTCTACTCCTGACATTTTTGAAAAAGTCAAGAAGTAGAAAGTCGTTACTTTTATTTCATTTTTGCTTGTTTTCATTCCAGCTTGTTATTGTAAAAAATAAAAACTATCCATATAAACTGAGCCTCCTAGATAGAGTGAATTTAACTGTGGTTGAATGAGAAGTATAAATATTTAAAACTCTGATAGTGTATTAGTTTGTACACAAACAAATTATGTCACACTCCAGCAGGACGTAATCATTCAAATAAAAGGATTGTACTTAAGAAGTATTTGTATTTCATGAATTATATTATTRCATTTGACCGCAGCCCTCAGATAGATTTTCGTTTTGGGGAAAAGCTTTGTGCAGCCTTGATATATGTATATAAACTGAAACAGCTAAAATAGTGCATAAATTAATTATTTTAATATGATATAGCCATTTTGCATTTTTTGAGGTCACCTCCTAATAAATGTCTTTAGTGAAAATCTAACTACTCATTTTAAATCAATACTTTTACTTGTAATACTTAAGTACAAATAATATCAGATACTTTAAGACTTTCACTTAAGTAATTTTCCTAAAGGAGACTTTAAATTTTACCAAAGTAATTCTTTGGTAAGATACTTGTACTTTTACTCAAGTATCCCTTTGTGGTACTTTATACAGCACTGTTAAAAAGATAATAGCTTCAGTGGTTGTATTATAATGCTCTGGCGCTTTAAACTCACCTATATTCAACAGAACATCCTCAAGAAGCAAATCTGTGGCAATTCGTTCCACTTCCACACAGTTATCAATAGTGATCTGTATCAAACCAAATGAGAAAGTAGAGTAGATTCAACAAAAAAAAGCTTTGTTGCCTTAAATTATTATGATGTAACCGACAGTCAAGACTAGCTTGATAAAAGGTCTTCAGTATTTCTGATACAGAACTGTGTGATAATAAACTCCTACCTCACTGCTCAGAAGCTCGTTGCAGAAATTCAGAAGTGGCATGACCTGCAAGAAGTTGGCAGCTTCCAGCGTGTCCTGCAGGTTACCCATGTCGAGGATGACCTTGGATGTGTAGATGAAGTCTATGATGTTCTTTAAGCCCACCTTGGTGACCCCATGCAGCTTGATCTCCCTCATCTCCTGCTCTTTCATGCCTCCTGTTACGGGGGAAACACAGGGGACAGAAACAAGGTGAATGCATTAATTTGCATCATTTTGGAAGATTGGTTTTGATCTGCTGGGGTGTCACATCGGGATTCAAAGAAACTGCTGACTCTACGAAGGCTTGGTGCTAAATCATGGGGATTAGGGAAAAGAACTAGATGATTATGTGATGTAATACAAAAAGTCTACTTTGAATCTGCAACTGAAATTAAGGTCAATGCAGAAGTGGCTTAGAAGGTTAACACATACAGTACTGTACTTTTTATTTTTCATTTTCTGCTTTACTGTCAGTCTAGAAGTGAAAGTAGAAGAGCTGGAGCAGACAACAGCATTGCTTATTTCATAAAATACTCAAATTTGAAAGAAACTCACCAAGTGTGTCTAACTATTGGAGTTAACCCAATTCAACATTAGCCAACATAAGAATGACTAAAACTCAGTTTTTACAGATAGTAAGCTAACACTTCATGTGATTGTACAACCCCTGGCAAAAAGTATGGACTCACCAGTCTTAGATGAGCACTCATTCAGACATTTCATTCTGTGAAACAAACTCAGATCAAAAACATGATACAATAATAAGGTCATTCCAAAGCGCAACTTATTGGCTTTCAGGAACACTCAAAGAAATGAAGAGAAAACATTGTGGAAGT